ATCATCATCATCATCCCTCCCTCCTCAGTGTCAGCTTGAGGCTGACACTAGAGGAGCGCACATCTTTCCTGTCTCTGCTCGTCTGTAAGGACATGATCCCCAGCAGAGAGAGGACAGTCAGAATCAGCGTGCAGCAGTCTGGACCCGACCATGACCGGGATATTTGGAAAGGTAAAGCCATGTGCTGAGTGCAACCTGGTTCTACTCGGAGCAATGGGCTGTGGAAAATCAGGTCTGTGTTCCTTTTTAACAACTTGTTAGGAAAACATTGTGAATGAGCCACGTTCATTTCTTTGTTGTAAAGCTTCTGATTAGGATTTTAGATTCTATTTTTAGTTCTGAGAGAATCTGGATGACTTTAGATCAACTATTATTTTTGCAGCATAGAGAAATTGTTTTCAGGGTGGTCCATCAGAACAGTTCCACCATTTCTCCTGGTAAATGGGACAGTTTATGAAGCTCTGACTTTCCCAGGACTCTGACTGACTCCCCGGCCCCGTGGGTCCCCTGGGCTCCAGATTCACTTATGCAACTTGTTTTATGCTCCTTTTCTCATTTTACAGCTCTCACTGTCAAGTTTCTCACAAAGCGCTTCATCAGTGAATATGATCCTTATCTTGGTGAGTCTTTTCTTCCTCACTGATTAAAAAAGTTAGTTAAAGTTAGTACATTTACTGCAGTGATTGCATTACACATGCTAACATGGGACTACAATGTGAAACCAATGGGTGGGTGAGAGACCACAAAGAACTTTGAAATACAGTAAAAATTTCATTATACAGTTATATTCAATAATATATAATAATAAGCTACATTACCAGTAAGTCAATTCATTGAGTGAAACATTATATAGATCAATTCCAAACTACAAGCAGATTTTGTTTTTGTCATAAATTGTACATCCACTGTATATTTTATTCAATTGATCTCTCTAAAGATGGTTGAAGAAAAAACAATCCTCATCTCAGATACTGGAGCATAATAAATTGCTGGGATGTATTTGGTTTGAACATTTAGGTCCAGACTTTTGATCAACACTTTGACAAACATCAGCGGATTACAAACAAAAAGTTTCATTTTCTGACTGGAGGAGATTTAATAAATTGTTTCTACAGGAACAAAATGAGGGTTGGTCTACAACACCATGATGTGCACATCAAACAAAATCATGAAATCAAACAGATATTTGACCATTAGCAAACTTAGCTTCATTCAGCTATGACACAAGACATTTGGAAATATCTCAGCTCTTCTGCCGTCTGTGTTTTTTCAGAGGATATCTATTCATCAGATGAGCTTGTGGACCAGCAGCCTGTTACAGTTCGAGTGATGGACACCTGCGACCAGGTATGAGCCTCAGCAATGGGCTCCATATTTACCAGAATAGCATCAGACCTGCAGTGTCGTTCTGAGCCGTCTGCTGATTCTACTGCAGGTACAGGTTAGCTCTGAAAGTTCATAGAAAAGACATTACAGACGGTCAGTAGCAAGTATGTGGGTAAGGCGCTCCCTCTAGTGGTGAAACACTGGAACAGTCAGCTACTGATTCCAGACCTTCTTGAAACATTCCAGGGGCCTCATGCATAAAAGACTGCGCAGTTTTGACACTAAAACGTGGAGTACGAACAAATTTAGAAAAGTGCGGCGCACAAAAAAGAATCGGATGCATAAAGCCGTGCGCAAGCACGTGGCCGCGCAGCTTTCCTTTATAAATCCTAATTTGCAGGAAATAGAGCCCAGCTGCTGGTCCGCCCTGTCACCACCCACAAATACATATGTAAATTAGTATAAATACCCGGAAGTCAGCCAACACGTGAAGCAATAATCATGGCAACGTCCTTGTTTGAAGAAGTATAAGTATTTGCAATAATAATAATAATATATTTTATTTAAAAAGTGCTTAGAGGGTACATAATGCCACCTCACAAAAATAAAATAAATTTTAAAGAAAAGAAAAATCCAAATAAATAAAAAAATTAAAATAAAGAGATCGTACAAATGCCCGTCTGAACAGCAGCACGTTCAGCCGGAATTTAAAAACAGAGTCAGAGAGTCCGTTCAGTGGGGAAAGTGAACGTTTATTCTAAATAGTAGAATCGTGTGTATAAGTTGTACATTTACAGATTAAAGATGCTTTATGTCCATAAGGCACATTCACAAAGGGGG